TCTCTCGGGGCCTGCTGCAATTCTTGTCTGTTGACGGGAGGCTGATGGCGTGCTCTGATCTGTCGGTCAAGATGGTCCCACAGATGTTCAATAGGATTCAAATCGGGTGAGTGGGCAGGCTAGGGCAAAACGTCAACGTTCTGCTGGTTTAGATAGTTCCGAGTCAGTTTTGCAGTATGGGGCCTGGCATTGTCGTGTTGAAACAATGTCCCCTGCTGTTGGTTTTGTAAGAACGGAAGCACAACTGGCTGCAACACTTGGTCTCTGTACTGGACAGCGTTCAGGTTTCCCTGTATAATCACCAAATCAGTCTTCTGATCTCCACAAATACCGGCCCACGCCATGACACCTTCCCCGCCGAATGGATGGACCTCTCGAATACACGCCGGAGCCAAACGTTCCCCTCTGCGTCGATAAACTCGTTCTCTGCTGTCATTTCGAAACAAGTTAAACCTACTTTCATCAGTAAACAGCACTCGACGCCAATTTCTCACTTGCCAGCGTCGAACCTGCCTCGCCCATCGCAGTCTCAGGCGTCGATGTTGAGCAGTCAGCACCATTCCTCGGAAAGGACGATACGCTCGGATTCCAGCAGCACGAAGTCGTGGTAGTACTGTACGTTGGCTAATGGGATGTCCCAACGCTGTTGCTGCCGTCGCCGTCGCCGTTGCCGTTACGAATCTGTTTAGCAGGTGAATGAGCCTTATCTGACCGTCTTCCAGTGGTGTTGTCACTCAGGGTCGTCCGGTTCTAGGCCTGTCCTGTGTCCTCCCTGTCTGCCTGTACCATTGAATTAGCCTGGCTACTGTCAGTGGTGTACAACCAAACCTTCTGGCAATTTGGACCTGTGTTGCCCCCATTTCGGCCATTCCGATGTCTCTCTCTCTCTCTGCTCCTGTGACAGTCGTGGCATTTCTTTTGTGTGTTTTCATCACGTGTGGTTATACCCTGCAGACGAACACATTTATACAATTAACATGCACGTACAGTTTATGCCATAGGCGGGAAACCTGTTTCACCATTTTTTTGTCACTGCACGAGCGCCGTCAAAGTGGCGCGTTCGGGTGAGGTGTTTTTTTGGTACCTGTTCCTGGGCAGTGATATTCCCAATACCCACTTTCCACTAGTTATCGCTGTTTTAGGAAAATTACAAATTGCCAACCTATACTTTCTTTTGCCGCTTAGTTTATATGCCCTCGGTGTCGTGGTATCGTCAGAGATGATTAATAAGAGTTCCACACCAAACCCCTGAATCCCGAAAACCATCTAGTTTTTCATTTCCTCTCCATTACTACTCAACACAAATCTCAAAGACAGAACGAACCCCTATAGAACACGTTCCTAGATCATAATAGCGTTTGCATTGAATATAAATTACTGACAAAATATCGAAAATGAAATATATAAAGGAAACGTTTTCGTATATTATTATTTTTTTATTTTTTTATTTTATTTTATTTTATTTTTTTTTAATGTGGAATCCGCCTACCGAATACGATTTTATTTGCATCCCGCGTACGATACTACTGAGTCTCGAATACCCTCTAAAGAGACCCCGAAGTCGAGTTTCCACCCTTGCCGAACTAGGCTGGTATTATGGAGTTACATTTTGGACTAACGAGACTATGCATAGTCCATTCAAAATCGCGCAAAGAAATCGAAATCCGGTTCGTAAACTATCGTGCAGATTTCGGTCGATTGCAGGATTTGCTAAGTATGTGCACCACTAACTCGTTATATATATTCTTTATATAGATATTTTCGAAATCTTTTCATGTTTGTAATCACGGTGCCCACGTGATTTGACGCACTTCGCGATGTAAGACCCGTTTTCTCACAATATAGATCTTGATCAGATCGTCTTGACTGGGCGCCGCCATTTTGTTTGAAACAAATGCAAGTGATGCGAGAGGTGGAATCTGATTTGTCCATAGGAGAGGCTTAAAAGGGACTTAACTTGTAATAACCACTGGTGGCGCTACGATCGAGCCCAGGAATTCCAGCCTAGTTCGGCAAGGGCAGAAACTGGACTTTTAAAGTCAGTTAAGTCCCTTGCCTCGGGAAGATGAGTGCGGTCAGGCTTGGCTGCAGATGCCGACCTTGACAGCATGGGGATCACTTTGAGTAGACTTTCCGAGGAAAATCAGTGATCAAAGTTTCAGTTCAATATTTATTAACAATGGACGCCGTCCGCCGGGAGATGTAGATCAGATTCGTATGCTTTTAACAGTAAGGGTTCACTAATATCGACTCTCTCGGGTTTCCAACAGTGCATCAACTTGACTAGTCACCACACGCCGCCAAGCTGACATTTAAACGTTTGAACAAGAGAAACAATCAGTCATCGTGTTCCCTGTAATTAGTCTGAGTCAGAGATAGATCTATTGCATAGTCACCACTATATTCGTACATGATTCGAGACGGTTCGTGCTGTCTGAGAAGGTGTATATCATAGGACGAAAAAGTGATCGCGTTGCACGCGCGATGACGACCCGTTGTGCATGGGCATGGGCATCACGTGATGCATGATATTTGCGGGCTAGTTTCGTTTGCCGTGACAAGTAAGGATTGGAGCGAGCGTGTTCAGGAGTCACGTGACAGGTACATTATGGGCAATTTACTGTATAACCCCGGAGATATACATTATGTTTGAATGTCAGATTCTTGATTACTCGAATTAGACCCCGTGGAATGTGTGAGCGTTGTGCCCCTATAGTATCAACACAGTGTGGTTGTATACGTTGTACACGACGCCGTGCCACCTGCCTCACACGACACCCTCGACTACGAACAAGAACACAATTCCGTTAGATTGCCAAATAGTGTGCTAGGCATCAGTGTTTACTGCGTGGTGGCGTTATGTGTTTGGAGTAACCGAGTTGGGCATGTGATGAAGTAGCTAGTTATCCCGCCTGTGTCGTTGCTGCCCCTGGGGTACTATCTATGTAATAGACACGAGTCGTAGTTGTAGAGACGCCGCTTGGGGGGAGGGGGGCAGGTTCAGGTTCACGGTTAATGAAGTTTGTATTATGCATCGTAGGAATGGTCAGGCGTCCCATTCTTAACCACCTCCACCACGCCTTCCATAATTAACCACCTCCACCACGCCTCCCATAGTAAACCACCTCCAGCACGCCTCCCAAAGTAAACCACCTCCACCACGCCTCCCATAGTAAACCACCTTCACCACGCCTCCCATACTAAACCACCTTCACCACGCCTCCAAGTCTAAACCACCTAAACCATGCCTCCCATACTACACCACCTCAACCACGCCTCCCATACTAAACCACCTCCACCATGCCTCCCAGACTAAACCACCTCCACCATGCCTCCCAGACTAAACCACCTCCACCACGCCTCCCATACTAAACCACCTCCAGCACGCCTCCCATACTAAACCACCTCCACCACGCCTCCCATACTAAACCACCTCCACCACGCCTCCCATACTTAACCACCTCCACCACGCCTCCCAGACTAAACCACCTCCACCACGCCGCCCATACTAAACCACCTCCAGCACGCCTGCCATACTTAACCACCTCCACCACGCCTCCCAGACTAAACCACCTACACCATGCCTCCCACACTAAACCACCTCCATCACGCCTCCCAGACTAAACCACCTCCACCACGCCTCCCAGACTAAACCACCTCCAACACGCCTCCCATACTAAACCACCTACACCATGCCTCCCACACTAAACCACCTCCAGCACGCCTGCCATACTTAACCACCTCCACCACGCCTCCCAGACTAAACCACCTACACCATGCCTCCCACACTAAACCACCTCCATCACGCCTCCCAGACTAAACCACCTACACCACGCCTCCCATACTAAACCACCTCCACCACGCCTCCCAGACTAAACCACCTCCACCACACCTCCCATACCAAACCACCTCCACCACGCCTCCCAGACTAAACCACCTCCCCCACGCCTCCCATACTAAACCACCTCACCACGCCTCCCAGACTAAACCACCTCCATCACGCCTCCCATACTAAACCACCTCCACCACGCCTCCGAGACTAAACCACCTCCATCACGCCTCCCATACTAAACCACCTACACCACGCCTCCCACACTAAACCACCTACACCATGCCTCCCATACTAAACCACCTACACCATGCCTCCCACACTAAACCACCTACACCATGCCTCCCATACTAAACCACCTACACCACGCCTCCCATACTAAACCACCTCCACCACGCCTCCCATACTAAACCACCTACACCATGCCTCCCATACTAAACCACCTACACCATGCCTCCAATACCTCACCGACTCCACCATCCACCACCCTGCGTCCCATTCTAATGCACATCCAGACATTCAAACCTATCACGCGCCCCAATCCCCACCCCTCCCTCTATACGTTCGACCGCCTCCGTGGTCTAGTGGTAGAGCGTCCGCCCGGTTCAATCCCCGTCGCGTCATACCAAAAGACGTTAAAAACATAGTTCTTGTTGTTACCCTGTCTGGCGCTCGGCATTAAGGGGGTAAAAATAGGACTGGTCGGCTTGGAGTCAGTATACTGTGTCTGAGTGGGGTATTCATGTTTAACTGCGGCATGGTATCTTAGTGAGCTAGCACTATAAATCGGCATCAGTCCGGACAAGCACAAGCAGCCACACACACACACACACGTGCATACACGTCACTATAAGGTCCAATATTCTTGGACGCGACGTTAAACCCCTTTCACCTCACCCTCCATACAGTCACATCCATCCCATAAGTACACCCTTCACCATTTCCGGGACAACTATCTCCCGATAATGTCCAAGCAACCTTCATGAGTTGAATGTTTCCCAGTCAGCTAAGTTAACATTGATCACATTGACTAATTGTTGAGATTTGCGGGCTATCAAACGATGGTCATTTAATTCCATTACAGCAACCACATCGACTGCGGCCAATCAATAAGCCCTTGCACGCGCGCGTCTCCGGTTCAAGCAAGAACTTTGGAAGTCTGTGAATTACTGCTGACTTGGAGCTGATGCACTGGGAAAACACTGATTCAATTATATGTATTGAATTAGCTGATAGGCACAATATCGACAGTTCGTGTATAGATCGATATACAGAGGGCATGCGGAAGTGAGAGGTCACGTGGGGTCAGGCAGCGCCGGGAGGACTCGGCGGAGGACAGCGCCTGGGAGACAAGGGGCAAGTCGAGACAGAGGTGGTTGTTCTTCGGCAGCAATATCAGCTTTAGGTAAGTCATTATTTCATTTCTGTGTTTATCACATTTTCAGAGAATTTTACCCTTTACATATATCGCTTTAAGCTTATGATAGACTTGTTATAATGTAAACACCGAATGTTGACACTCTCGATCATACGGGACTTCGTCACATCCTAAATGTCAAAAATAATTGATGCGCATTGTGACGACTGTCAACGTACATTTTTGAATGAAAGTAGTTGTATGTATTGTATTGTATTGTATTGTATTGTATTGGGTTGGACCATCTGTCTAGTGAGACTTGACCAATATCTCCATGCCTTCACGTATGCAGAGACAGTGTATGTTTGAGAAAATATATTAGCCATGTTTAATTTTGTATGGCTAAAACTGCCATAACGAATTCAAGTTCATCACAGGCTGCACGTTCGCTGAGCCAGCTGTAGATATGAAGCTGGCCCGCACGGCAGGGAAATTAAACGCAACCATTCTTTATTAGCTTCTGTAATTTCAATAACAAATATCCTGTTAGATATCACACACACTGCAAATATCATCCACGACGTTGGGCTCGCTGGATTTTAGTTGGACTCAAACTTGTTAAGGATGAATTTCGTTACAAACGTTGCGAGATATTTTCATTATTTTCCAAGACATGACATTGATCGATTGTGTCAGCGTGCAATTATCTGTCAATTATGTAGAATAATTGACAAAACACGTTTGGTCTTTTCATTGTTGTAGCACTCTGAAATGTATCGGAATACTAAACATATTGCAGTGTGGCGCCATGTGTTTTTATTCAAAACCGATGTGATGGCTGTTTCTAGGGTTTCTTAACTCGTAACTGTAACATCCGTCAATACTATTTCCAAATTGTTATTTTAATATGATACTATCCGTTATCTAGTCTTATGCGTCAGCGTATTTTCCTTCGCAGTGTGTCGTTGCTATTACATCCGAATGTATCTTAAACCTGGACAATCCCTTTACGAGGGAGGTTGGGTAGCCTAGTAGTTAAAGCGATCGCTCGTCAGGCCTAAGACCGGGTTCGATTCCTCACGTGTGACGCCCATTTCTGGTGTCCACATGATATTGCTGGAATATTGCTAAAAGCGGCGTAAAATCATACCCACTCACTATCAGTTTACATCTACTGAACCTGGTGTGTCTGTTTACATCCAATCTGCCTCGGTCTCTCTTCTACCCACATGTACTTCGCCATATAAGGGCAATAATGATGAACGCGACGTTAAACACCATTCAAACCACTTACCACTTCTAACGTCTATCGAAACTGTCAGTGAGTGAGGTGTTCCACCACTGTAGGGGACACAAGAAAATGTTTCCCAGAGTGTACCCATTTGGGGAATCGAACCATGGTGTTCAACGGCACGGACCAACGCTTTATCCACAAGGCTACCTTACCGCATCTCGAAAATACAAAAGTTTGAGAAATGCAACTACCGATCTATAACTATACTTAAATTATTTATCAGCTCATCCATAGTGTTCGATAATAGTTTGAGACAAGTGATTATGAAAGATAGACCCACAATACCGCGTGATAGGTAATACTTTTCACATCTTCATTATTAAAGGAAGCGGTGGGGTAGCCTAGTGGTTAAAGCGTTCGCTCGTCACTCCGAAGGCCCGGGTTCGTTTCCCACATGGGTACAATGTTTGAAGCCCATTTCTTGTGATTATTGCTGGAATATGTCCCAAACCGGCTGAAAAACATACTCACCCATTTAATCATTATGAAATACTCTTGACGTCGTCTGCTAAATATCTGTAAAGGACTATCAAGGACACAAACATTTTTAGGATAAGTAAATATGATTACTGAGTCCCGACAGGTTCAATTTAGCCAATGGTTTCCAAGATACATAGGTTGTGTGATAATTAGCAAGTAATTATTATATAATATACAGACCCGAGCTATGATTCATAGGTCATAATTTACAACTGCCAAATGTCACCAGCGAATCCAGTAGTACAACACTGCTTAATGAAATACAGTACAAAAATATATTTGACCGTTGTTTTCTCTGTGAAATATCTTAAAACTAAACAACATCCTCAAGACAGTAAACATGGCCTGTTGGTATGACACTAAGCTGGCCGCACAAATAATCAGCAACCTGAGCACAATCCTTTCACCCCCCGTCTAACGCCAAGATTGGATACTCGCCGATAAGCCAGACACGATTGATCGACCTTTTCAGCATCAGAAAAACAGTTGTCAAGGAACCAGGGGGGCTGCTCAATAGAATCTCCCCGTCTGTCATATAATTTCAAATGTCGTGCACATGACCAGCCATTTGATTCAGCGTGCGGGTGAAACTGGTTGGTCCGCGATACGACAAGGCATTTATGAATCATCAGTTAATTGTGAGAAATAGTAAAGAAAGGAGTAATAGTTACTCTATCTCGTCCAGACCCGCCCTCCGATGCCCCCTTACCCATCCAACTATCTCCGCCTGGCTGCACGTGAAGCAAGCCCATTTCGGGTATCGAATCATCTCCGGGCAACGGGAGTTTGCGTCACGTGGGATTAATTTTTCCGAGTATTGTTTCAAATAGGAATTTAGAGACATCACGTGACTGATCATATCATGAGTATTCTCTTTGTGTCAGTGAGTTTCAAACCAAGTGGAAGACACACAAGGGATGTTTGTTTGTATTGGGACGAGGTTCTTCAATTATTTGCTAAGCTAAAGTGATCACAGGCTGTAGATTCCCCCGTCATCCTTTTAATGTATAGTGTACAGATATAATCTAATATTTTCTACATCGCTTTTACGTTTCAAGTAATAGCCGTATGTCATTAGGCTTCGGTGTAGCGTTACAATGCAATCTTTTCCCGGCTAAAAAGAATTAAATTTCCAAGTGATCAATAATCATTTCTACCAAAGAGAATAGATTTGTTTTAATTTTTCTGGTACGTTAACTTGGTTAAACATGTGGAAGCGCTGGCGGAGAATTATATTTGCGGAGCAGGCTTCAGCAAGGTCTCACCGGAAGTCCAGTCGTGGCATGTCCGCCATCTTGGTCTCATCGCGTGCATGGGTTGTAAACACGTATACATGTTTATGATGTATGGCCAGTACATATTGGTCGCATCCACAGCAGGGTAAACAAAGGTAGATCACATGAAATCATTAACCTGTGTTTTCACCAACAATATAAACACCTCGCGCCATATTGCTCAAATAAAAAAACAGACTGATGTGATTCATCCCTTTGACAAGTCATGCCACCTGGCGGCCGTTGTATAAACTAGGTGTATAGATACAACCTGTTAAAGGCGGACAAGACTACCCGGACTGTATCCATAATATGCCATGCAAATGTTGGTACATGTTATACAAGCAACACGAGAAGCTCGCTGTATAAACCTGGTTATGACGTCACACCTAGGCAGCAAAATCAGGATGGGCAGATTATCATATTGTCTTACTTAGAGTGAGTGAGTTGGGTTTTACGCCGCTTTGAACAGTATTCCAGTTATACCGCGGCCTGCCAGCTTAATGTGGGAGGAAAGCCCGAAGTGATGCAGGTCTCAGACGTTTACCACTTTGGCGAAACCCACGAGCAAGGGGTTGTGTTGACAGACCTAGAAACAAACTCTTGGCGAAACGGGATTCCAAGCCACAATAATAGGTTTCTGGTGTGCCCAAGGGAAGCAACTCTGCACCGCGTATTGCGGTGCCTTAGACGACTGGGCCACCCTCTTAAGAAATATGAATAAACAAATATATTTGTATCAAGGGAAGTTCCATATAATTGAATAATTATTTATAACTGTCTGTCCCTAAACTGAGACCGTAATTGAATATTGTGTACGCAACGTTAAACCCAATTTCACCTCACCTAATTGTAAGTCCTAATGGACTATGTTTAAACACGAGATCTGTATCTGGCTTCAACTCTACATATATAAGTTACAAAGTTGCCATTGTGATAACGTTGACCAGAATTAAATCAAACCGCTATAGGCTTGAAACACTAATTAGTTGGATGCTAGCGTTGTTTCTTGGGAGCAGCGGTAAAAATTGACTCATTTTGACTAACAAGGTCTTATAACAAACCTAAATGGAAACGCCGTTTTCATCCTTACCGCCGTCGTTGTCGTCATTGTCGTCGTTCTCACCATTTTCACAACTATTGTAATTGACAACAGATGGTACCTAGACATATTATCTCTGTGTGTCAGTCTGTCTCTCTCTCTGTGAGTGTGTGTGTGTGTCTGTGTGTGTGTCTGTGTGCGTGTCTTTATCCTGTGACAGTCTTTCTTATATTGAAGCTTTAGCTTTAACTCTAAGCTCAAGCGGCGTCTGGCCATGATATTAGTCTTACAATATCTACACATATCAAAATAACACAACTGAGTATGCAAACAAAAACAATCTGTCAAAACAACATATTTTCCTAAATTTGAATTGGGGGCACGGGTGGCCCAGTCGTCGAAGGCGTTGCGATTCGCTGTGCAGAGTTGCCTCCCTTGGGCACGCCAGACACCTGTGATTGTGGGTTCGAATCCCGATTCGCCCCGATTATGTTTCTAGGTTTGTCAGCACCTTACCCGTGCTTGTTGGTTTCACCAAAGTGGTAAACGTCTGAGACCTGCATCACTGCGGGCTTTCCTCCCACATTAAGCTGACACGCCGTGATATAACTGGAATAATGTTAAAAGCGGCGTTAAACCCAACTCACTCACTTAATTTGAATTTATTTTTCTACTTCCCCTGGCATGTTCTGTAATAGTATTCTATCATATGTATTACCAACGTGGCATGTAAACCAGATGTGTGTCGCATAACGGATCGTGCGTGACGTATAATGAAAATTATCTTTCCATATGTCATATAACGAAACTCTTCAAACATCACTAAATAATCCCAACCTCTGTGACTCAGGTCACGTACAACCGAGTCTTATCATCAACACTGGAATGTGGAGGTATTCATCAGTGTATATCCTGTGTAGATAGATCTTACATCGTCGTCACAGCGTGGATAAGCACA